GGCTGGGAGGGGCCATCCAGGAGGGGCGTGGCCAGGGAGCCTGGGAATTGTAGTCGGCGGGGCCCCGAGAGTCTGTCTGTCTCGTCTTGGTTCTACAGCTCCAGGCTTCTAGCCCCTGTTGCCGCCGCCTCTCTAAACCCCTTCTCACTAATCAGCAGTCCTGTCCTTTAGCCTCCTCACTCTACCTATGCAGCAATGCTAGTCTTTCTAAAATCCTTTAAGAACAAATGATGGAAACAATAAAATAGGGGTCACCTTGATTAATTTGGAGGCTTTCTATAATTAAAGACTAATAAACCAGGTAAGGTGATGCACACCTGTAATCCCAGATCTTGGAAAGCTGAGGAGGAGAATTGTTGAGATTTGAGGCCAGTTTGGGCTATATAGTAAGTACCAGGCTAGGTAAAGCTATATAACAAGAACTCATCTCAGAAAAACAAAACAAACAAAATAACGCAATAGAACAATCGCTTATCATGCTCAAAGTCCTAGGTTCAATTCTCAGCACCGTATACACAGGGCACGGTGGTGCAGTCTCAGCACTTGGGAATTGGAGGCAAGGAGGATCAGAAGTTTGAAAATATCTTTGACTACATAACAAATTTAAGGCCAGATTTGACTACCTGAGACCTTATCTCAAAAAAAAAAAAAAAAAACCAACTAAACAGTGCCAAGTTTGCATCAAGATGATTCAGAATATAAACCATCAACCACTTAGGCTGTATTTAGTGCAAATTCCAATAATGATGGAATGGCTGAGATAAAAACCAAGTAGAGATTACTGTTTCCACATCCATCCCCACTGGTCTAATTCTAGCCTAGCCCCACCATTTCTTGGCATGAAAACTATAGAGAAAGTCAATTTTACCTGTACATTTTTGGGGGTTTCTCCTCTGGATCTAAGAAATTAAACCAAAAATAACAAGTCAAATATAAGAAAAGCATGCAAGTTATCTAATGAGTTAGTGGTGACCGACACAGAAACCCTGGAAAGGAACTGAAGACAGTTGGGAATGTGTATTAGTCAGGGTTCTCTAGAGAAACAGAACTTATATAATGAATCTATCTACCTATCAATATCGAGATAGATAGACAGACAGACAGATAGATATGGGATTTATTAGAATGACTTACAGGCTGTGGTCCAGCCTATCCAAATATGGCTGCCTAGGAACAGAAAGTCCAAGAATCCAGTAATTGTCCAGTTCACAAGGCTGCATGTCTCAGATGGCCTCCAGTATACACTGAAACCCTGAAGAAGTAGGCTCTAATGCCAGTGCCAATGAAGCAACAGACTGGCTAGTGAGAGCAGGAGCAAGCTGGCAAGGAGAGAGCTTCCTTCATCCATGTCCTTTATATAGGCTGCCAGCGGAAGGTGTGGCCCAGGTTAAAAGTGGATCTTCCCACTTCAAAAGATCTGGATTAGAAGTGAGTCTCCCCAGCTGGATGGTGGTGGTACACACTTTTAGTCCCAGCACTAAGAAGGCTGAGTTCAAGGCTAGAATGCTCTATAGAGTGAGTTTCAGGACCAACCAGGACTATACAGAGAAACCCTGTCTTGAAATTCCAAATAATAGTAATAATAATAAAAGAAGAGGAAGAAGACGAAATGAGTCTTCCCACTTCAAATGATGTAATTAAGAAAAGGTCACTCACAGGGCTTTCATTAATTCCAGATGTAGTCAAGTTAACAATCAAGAATAGCCATCATAGGATGTATATGCTAAAGTGTTAAAGCCCTTGCCAACACTATGAAGGGTGAGCATAAAAAACCTAAGTGTAGGGCTGGAGAGATGGCTCAGAGGTTAAGAGCACCAACTGCTCTTCTAGAGGTCCTGAGTTCAATTCCCAGCACCTACATGGTGGCTCACAACCATCCGTAATGAGATCTGGCACCCTCTTCTATATACATAATAAATAAATAAATTAAAAAAAAAAAAAACTAAGTGTAGCAAACCCCAAATATATATTGTTGTGGTTTTTTGTTGGTTTGCTTTGTGTTTGTTTGTTTGTTTGTTTGTTTAAGACAGGCTTTCTCTGTGTAGCTCTGGTTGTCCTAGAACTTGCTCTGTAGACCAGACTGGCCTCAAACTTAAAGACCTTCCTGTCTCTGCCTCCCCAGTGCTGGGACTAAAGGAGTGTGCCACCCAGCCCAAATGTTTTTATACCACATTGTGCAAAGAAAGGCAATGTGGAGAAACGGGGGTGCTAAAGAAAAACCACTATTTTAATAAGATTTGTTTTGTATCCAGCCTATTGGCTTTGACAAAAAAGTCTAGCCAGGGTATATATGCATGCTGGGCCAGGGCTTTATCATTGAGCTAAATTCCCATTCCTTTCAAATTCCTATTCAAGTTACTTTCTTATGGTCCCAGAGCAGCAACTCCCTGCTTTGGGGAGGATAATAGCACCACTTGGCCTGATAGTGTGGCTCGGTGGTAAAGACCTGACCAGTATGTCTGAGGCTCTCAGTTCCTGGTGCTTTTGCTTCATTTTTAAGTGTCCTTAGCTCAAAATCACCCTTATAGGAAAGTGGCATAATTTAAGGTGGCCTCTTTGATTACTCTGTGAACTATTCTGCCTCATCTAGAAGCCTTTTCTTGCCTATTCCCAACCTCTTCCATGACTCTACATTTCTTTTCACTTCTTGTTTCTTTTTGTCTGTACCAATGCTTAGAGTTGCTAATTGCAGGGCCACCTATAGAATCCAATGCTGGTATCTATAAGCTATTTAGTGCAGCCTCTTACGTGGAGAGAACCTGAAACTCAGATGTCAAGGCCAGTGGCAAAGCAAATACCCAGACCTCTTGGCTCTTCTATCAGTCAGGTTGCTATGGCTACAATCAAACACCACGTCCAAAAGCAACTGGAAGAGGAATTTATTTGACTTCTGTTTTTATGTCTCACTCTGTCACTGAAGTAAGTCAGTACAGGAACTCAAGGCAGAATCCTGGAGGCAGGAAGTGAAACATGAAGGAACACTGGTTACTGACTTGCTTTCCAAGGCTTGTTTGGCCTTCTCATACCTCCCAGGCCCAGCTGCCCAGGTGTGTCATTGCCCTCATGGCCTCATCCCATGGCCGG